TTTTTCCCTCCACCTCCTCCTCCTCCTCCTCCTCTTTTTTTTCCCTCATCCACCATTTTGTAACTAAATAAACGACATATTTGAATATATTTTCCTGTCACGCGATTTCCCAGTTGATTTGAGTTTTTTTTTTTTTTTTTTATATTCCGATTTGATTTTCATTTCATTGCTCGGGTTATTCATTCATTCAACCCCCTCCTCTCTCCCCCCCAGTACTAAAATCACGGAAAATTTTTTTTTTTTTATAAAATCTGGTTGACGTCACGAAAACAAATGCCTTTATTCACTTTTTCTTATATATCTATTTGTCTCTCTCTCTCTCTCTTTCTTTCGTTTTATCAATTTTTCTCTTTTCTTTTATTAAGTTAAAATAAATTATTCGTTATAAATTTTTTGACTCGATATATTTATGTATTTTCCTTCGTAAAATTTTTTTTTTTTTTCTAGAAACTTTAAGAACAATTTCGTAAAATTAATCTTTTGGTTAAAAACGACCGTTTATGTCGACGATTATTATTTAAAAAAAAAAAAAAAATTTCTGATATCGTTACGTTTCTAACAATAATATATACGTATTGTAATGTAATAATTGCATTCAATCATTGGAAAATTTCTAAAAACGGTTTCGAGAAAAACGGTTTCGAAAAACGGTTTCAACGTCCTTTTTTTTTTTTTTTTCGTTTGTAATGGAAACCGTTTTTTATTTTTAAATAATAATTTTCAACCCTTAAATATATTTTTTTTTACGTCACGGTCAAATAAATACATATTTGATTTTAATAAAACGGATGTTTATCAGCTGTTTATTTTCCTAAACGTTTTTACACGTTTTATTATTATTATTATTATTAAAAAAAAAATGTGTGTGTGTGTGTGTGTGTGCGTGTGCGTGTAATTGTGATAAAAATCAAACAAACTAAATGTAACAGACAAGTTAGCAAGATTAGGGTGATCGACGACACGGACTTTTAACTCTATAAATATTATTATTATTATTATTGTTTTGTTTTTTCTAAGCAAAAATTTATAAAGGCAGTAATAATAATAATGGGAAGACGAAAATTAATCGCGTACCCATTTTCCTCTTTTTTTCCTTTTGTTTACGTTTAAAACGGGATAATTTTCAAGAAAGTTTTCTTTTTCTGTTTTTTTTTTTTTCGTAAAATATGTATAAAAAAAAAAAATTTTCCGAATTTTTCTTTGTTTGTTTATTAATTTTCCGACTAAAATAACAAATTGGAAAATTTATTGAGAAAAATTATTTATAAAAAAAAGGAAAATTTTTTTTTTATAAATTAAATTTCTTTTTTTTACTCGAGTGAAAAGCGTTTCTTTCGAAACGCAATAAAAAGTAAAAAAATTTTCTTCCTTTCTTTGTTTTCATTTTCTTCATTTTCGGTTGTCATGGAAACTTGGAAAAAAAAACTTTTAAGCCACGCCCATTTTTTTTAAGGGGTTTAAAATTTCTTTTTTCTCATTGGCTAATGTTACCACCCTCACCAAACCCATCGGTCACTTTATAGAAATTTTCATGGAATTTTTTTTTCAACCAATCAATTTTCCCCATTTTAAAAAATAATAATA